CCTTCTCCTTCATTTTCTCTATTTTTTTGACAGAGCTTCGCCGAACATGTTTTTCTTCAAACTTGACGTTGGAAGTTGAGTCAGGGGAGCGTGGCGTCTGCTTGTCCTCTTGTTTCACTGACTTCCCAATCTGCTTTTCCTCCTGCTTCTCTGCCTCTTTCAGTTTGCTCTGAGCACTAATGCTGTCGGCATTGTACATGTGGTAGGTTTTCATAACCTGCAGAAAATGATACACAAAAGTCAGAGAGCACCACAGTTTGATTTGCTGAGGAAGAAACGGGCTTACCTCCCAACAAATTGGGCACACAGATGTTTTGCCTTACTTTACCTGCATGACCAAGTCTCAGGGAGAACAGTTATACGTGGATCTGGAAAGCTCACAGGCTAGGAGGGAGGAAAAAAATCCTAAGACAGAAGTCACAAGCTGCAACACCTTTTTTTTTTTTTTAATTTGGCCAATGCACTCCCCAAAACTGTAAGTTTCTTTAAGTTTACTACTTCATAATAGCTGTCTGTCATGTTTATATTAAAGGCAAGGTATCATCCTAACTAAGCAAAGGCTTTTGGCTGGTGACCAGCAAGGCCGGTTGCTAGCTTGGAGTTAGAACTATCTAAACCGGAATTTCACATCTCAAAAAAGCGTGATAGAAGATGCATGAATAAAACTGGCTCTCAAAATCAATCTGAAATCAAAGTGGATTATTTTGCAGCTGTTTCTTTGTTTAACTTTGGCATGCGCCTTCTGGTACAACCCAGTAAAGGAGTCATAAAACCCAAAAAAAGATACAGACTAAATCCAGCCTTCTTACTATTCAAAGAAAATTATATGCCAATGCTGGAAGATGAGAGCTTTTCATCAGCAGGTAAGGATTCAGAAGGGAGGCCTATCAGTCTTTCATCTGGATGAATCAGTCCCTTAAACATCTCAAGTCTCAAAGAACTGTATGCAAAGCAATCGTCTGAACACAACGGCTGCAAAAGCAACTTGGGTTCGATTTGTTTAAATCAAATTTAGTATGTAAAAGCACCTCTGTTCACCTTATGTAATAAAAATATTAATAAAAGAGTGTGGTTCTTGTGCTCAGGGAGACCTGGACCCTGTACTATATGGACAACTTTTATGAGAGCACATTTTTTAAGGTAAGTATAGATAAATTTCCCCTAAAGTCACAAAAGCCCCCACTTGTTTCAGAGGATATTCATGTCTAGCTTTGTGTTAAGAAAAACAAAAATAACAAATGGCATAATAGATAAACTGTCTATTTTTTATCCACCGTTGCAAAGCAATTCAATTCACATACCAAAGCAAACGTTATGATGATACACTTTTTATAGGGGGCAAAAAAAAATGCAAAGCTGCAGCATAAAGACCCCCCCTACAGTGTCGTTCCAGCATTAACAAAGCTCCCACTTGCAAATCATTTGATTTATTTTAGATAAAACCCCATTTATACCTATTTCACCTTAGTTTGAACCATAACATAATTCTACGTAAGTAGGATGCACGCTCCCTCTTTATGCAGTGATCAGCAGAGGTTCTCGGATACAAAGAGACGTTGTATTTAAACATGAAAGGGAATGTGAACGCAGCCAGTATTAAAGAGAGATTTTCTGAATAATTTACACACGCGTGCTTTCAGCTCCTGCATATGCTTAGACTGTAAAGCAGGCATTTATAATAATAGATGCAAAGTAGCTTCTTTCCCTCTATCACTGAAAGTGGAACTGGCAGAAAGCAAGAGAAGCAGAAAAAGAAATCACAGTTTTAATGATTTTAGCCTGCTGACAGTGCCACATTGGCAGCCACAAGCCCTGCCTGCCCTGTGTTTGGCGCCGGGGTTACTGTGGACTCAGTAGTGCCTGCTGAGGGCAACAGCACGCTCAAGGACGGATTGCAAAGGGCAATTCAGGCCAAAAACCAGTAACGAGCCTCCGTATTTCACCTGCGTAGGGAAACTAAAGACTTTGTCCATTTTCATGGACGTGCATTTTGCCTCACAATACGAATTCTGCCAATCCAGCAGAACAAGAGGTTAGTTTGTGGATCTTAAAAGTACCAATGAAAGAATTCCACCAGAGATTGAGTCCATCAAGAAATATCTTTTAATATGATCAGCAGAAACAGCTTTTTCAAAGGAAAAGCCATTTTCTGGTGAAGGGACAATTTAGAATTTTAGAGCAGAAGGAATGCATAGATAGATATCAAGTTCCTAGCACTGACATTACAAAAGTTAATACGCCAGGTTTGGTTATCAAAGGCTGAATTCTGGAAGATCTTCCTTCCCGTGATAGAGAAATTATCAGCACTCGGTATTTGGCTCAATGATCTGTCAGAGCCTGGCATGCAGAAATGATTCCCTATGTCTATGTAAACTCCACTAACCAGTCACCTCCTCAACCTAAGCGCCCTGGGAACTTGGATTAGAAATAAATCTCAGTTCCTAAAAGTCTGTGTTTAGAGACAGCTCTGTATTCTTCCTTAGGATCCCATCCAAGTGCATGACTCAAAAGTTGAATCATATTGCGCCCTCAAATAAAAAATAATTTCTAGAGTAGGCAGCGCTGATGACAGGCACTGCTGCATTTACAAAGCCACCTTCATATCCAAAGCAAATTCTCTGCCTTTCAGGAACATGAGCACAAGGCAGTTTGCTCACACTATTGTAACCCAAGGCCGTGCTAACGACGACAGCGGGAGTACATCGAACCACAGGTCAGCTTCAAAATGCCTCCAGTCCCACCGTACTGCTCGAGCTTGGCTTTCCTGTCGAGGAACACAAACACTCTTTGCCCACAGAAAAGACTCAGTGATGCTAAACACTAATGCAGGAAAAGGAGGAAAATCATAAACGGGATTCACAGTCTCACCCATTCAACTGCCAGTTCAGCAGCAAGAACGCTAGTGCATGATGAACTCCCTTTTCCTACTCCTAAGCTCCCTTTTCTCCTAAAAGATTAGTCCAAATATTTGGCTTCGATGCTCTAATGAAACAATTTCCTTCTATACCTTTTGTAGATACGGAAAATTTCAGGGGACCCCACCTCCCATACTCTAGCGTTGATATTCACACCAAATTTCATCACAAGATTGCTATGCCATGGCTTGAGAAACATCCCTGGATCATCTTTGGAAAGAACAAAGAAAATAACGCGTACCTTAGGGTAATGACCCAATGTATCATTAGAGAAGGACCAAAGAAAAGATATTTTGAGCAACAAAACCATGTAGGTTCTGCTTTTAAAACAAGACCTAGCTCAGTAACAGCTGCAGAAAGCAAAAATGTAATCAAACAACAGGCTTTTCCATTCATCTGCATGAGAAGAAAAATCCCCAAGCAGCGTACGAACTTTTATGAACACATTCCTTCTCCTTCCCGAGGCAATGCCTCTTTCTTGGTGTCTCCAATGGATATACGAGAAGCAAAGAGCACAGATGGAAGACTGTTACTCTAAAGGGAGCTGCTTTGCTGAAGGAGTTGAGGAACAAATAAACACAGTGGGTCCCCCCGCTGAAGCTGTACGCTGCCTTTTGTATCCTCCGACCACACAAAAGCACGGACTGAAGATTTTTAGTGTATTTGGAAACAATTCTAGTATCTTTTACTATTTTTAAAACCAACACTGCAGCTAGTAGCAGGCGCGTGCTAAGGTGAGATCTTTGAGAAGTGGAGCCAACACTTACAGAGCTGAAACAATATAAGGCTAGAGAGAAAAAGCAAAGTTTATGGTGCTCTGTAGACTGGGGAACACAAGCTGCCTCAAACTGCAAAGACTGCAGACATTTATCAGTCTTGATGCTTAGCCTCTGCTGTAACAGCAGGCTGGGAGAAGTCAAACACTTCTTCCTTCTGCCTGAAAAGATGCCAAGAAGTCAGTTTGATTTACCGTGTAGAGTTCATTCAAGACCTTCATCAAGTCTTCCTGGAGCTGCAATCCCACTTCCTTGCTCTGCAACAAAACAGAGAAATGAAAGTCAATTGGGGAAGACGGTAAAAAGGCGGAGGAAGTGAGCATGCTCCGCATCTACAAATAATTTAGGCTCAATTAGGCACCGCTATTTATGCTAGCAAATCCAGTAACTGCTCAGCCCAGAGCCACTTATGCTCAAATTGCACAAACAGTATTAATAAACTGAAATGTTATATACGCACAGTCAGAAAAGCCTTACAGTATGAAGACAGGCAAATTCCCAGAGAACATGGGATTTTCAGCATTACAAGCCTGGAAACACATAGGTTTGCCCAGCTGAAGAAGTGCAGGGTAAAAAAAAGCCGACAGGAATCATCTTCCTTTATTCAAAATCATATCACAAAACAGGCAATACTTCAACTTTGCTGACGTAAGGTACCCCCTTGCCAAAGCCAGACTGTGAGGCTGCGATGACAGCCGGCCACCACCTCCTTCAGGCTCCCACCTCTCCAGGCAGTCCTGCTGCTCTTCCCGTTGACCTTGCATCTCACTGCAGCCCTTTGGTACTGCTGCCAGCCCCTCCTAGCCTCATGCCTTGTCCTCGACCACCTGCACATCATGAGTTGCCCATCGTAACAATGCTTGAGGCAACGAGGTTGCTCAGACAGGGTCTGGCAAGGTGTTACAGGGTCCAGGAGGGAAACCTTACCACGGTGTCTGCCAGCTCTCACTTGATAAGCCTTGTGCACAGACTATTTTCCATTTCCCAGATTCACTAGGCCAACACTCACTCTTGGACACTTTTGCACACTGGAGAGGAAACGTCTTGCTGGAGAAGGAGCGTTTGTCACAGAGGGGGTTGGAGGAGCAGGGAGATGTGCTCCAGGGCAGGTCCTTTTGCCTGTTGGTACTGCGGGAGATGCTGTCTTTGAAAGCCTATACACAGCCACAATCTATTTTTGAACAGTGTTAATGCCAATATATTTTTTTTTTTTTTTTAGTTTTGTATGATAAAGCCAGAGTTTAAAAAAAAAAAAATAGTACATGCTTTCAGATGCACAATCTCCCCTTGAGTCTCCATGAGATTTACCAAAAGTTTACCTCTTCTTCCACAAATACCACAACAGCCTTCCGCACCCTCTAGCCTCCTCTGGCAAATGTTCCTTCACTTCTGTATTCCATCACAAGAACCACCATGTCAACATTGGAAAAAAATAAGAAAAATCACTTTGACAGGGCTTTACATGTATACATTCCCATTTCCATTCAAATTTTAAATCAATACGCAATTTACCTCAATAGACAAAGCAATTGGCTCTTTTTTTTTTTTTTAAGCTACAATGGCTACAATACAATTTAACCATATCAATACAAATCATTCTGTCCTGAGGGACATTTGCATTACTGAGCTGCCTGGTTAAACCTGAGGCTATGACTCATGGACTGGTTTCCTTCACTAGAACAGTAGAATGAAAAGAATTAAAAAAAAAAAAAAAATAAAAAAGGTGCAGATAAGACACAACTGGTTGTCAAAACCAGCTGAGACCCAAACTAGCCTGCAGCTGAATGTCAGATTTTAAAAATATATTTGCTTATTTAAAAATATATTTGCTTATTTATAATTACCTGCTAGGTAACAAGCAGCCAGCACTTCTATCGGACTCAACTGCTGCACGAGGAGCCGGTGCTGGCACGCATTTGGCTTTAGCTAAATACAGGAACAGATAAGCTTCTGGTTTTCTAATAAAGACACCGGAATGTCCAAAGATGCGCATCTGTAATTACCGACCGACGGCAGCTCTGTATGCAAAGCCCTCTTTGAAGAAGCGTTTCTGCACGCAGTATAGCTTGTATGCAAAGGAGGGCGGAACAGCTTCCTTCGGGAGTGCAACGGTACCATTAATTCACTTCATTAAGACAGGTTTTCATGCTGAAACTGTCACTGCTCGCATTCTGAAGAGCTTCCATGAGAAAAGCTGAGAAATTCAGACACATGAAAAAGCACAACGAGCCAGCTTTCGCTGACACACCTTGCAAAGCAAAGGTGCAGCCACGCACCCCAGCCTTGCCGTCCCCAGCCGCCACGGCGCAGCGCTGCCCTGCAGACAAACCTTAACAAATCCCCTTTTCCTATAGCATGAGTATAAATGATCAAGAAAATTCTCCGTATTCGTAACACAATTCACATCTTTCAGCCTACAGTAACTGAAAAGGATTAAATGGGGATGGGGAATGTCTTTTTAGTAGGGCCAGCTGTGTTAGGACAAGGGGAAATGGTTTTAAACTAGAACAGGGTAGGTTCAGGCTAGAGGTAAGGAAGAAATTTTTTACAGTGAGGGTGGTAAAACACCGGAACAGGTTGCCCAGAGAGGTGGTGGAGGCCCCATCCCTGGGAACATTCAAGGCCAGGTTGGATGGGGCTGTGAGCAACCTGATCTAGTTAGCAGTGTCCCTGCTCACTGCAGGGGGGTTGGACTAGATGACCACTAGTGGTCCCTTCCAACCCTAAACATTCTATGATTCTATGATTCTAAAGCCAACAGAGTTACAGTTGGACCCAAACAGAGGTTTCCCTTCTTTGCCATTGAAGACTCCAAGAAGCGATGTCCCAACGATGTTCACCCAAACAGGCTGCTGAAATGATTTTAACTTGGTGCTTCAGCACACATTACCACGCCTGATCACCCCTTTGAAATTCCAGGAAAATCCATATCCTCTGATGGGGAGCTGGTTATCATCCCCGCCTTGTAGCAAGCAGCCACCATTGCCACGTTATAAAAACACCAGAGCTGTGGGGTTGAGTGTTGTACAATGCACCTTCAAGGTGGAAAAAAAGGCAAAGGAGGGGGACCACAGAATCATTTGCTTGGAAAAGACCTTTAAGATCATCAAGTCCAACCATACCTGTCCACTAGTAAGCCACGTCTCTAATGAATATGGGGCGAGATCAAACACCAACTATTTATAAAGCCATATATTGCACCAAAAACACAATTGAAGGGGAAAGCCCCCTCAAAAAACCCAAACTTAAGGATAACAGGCAATTATTTCTTACGTGAAGCGTGGTACAGCCCACCACAGGAAGAAGAGGCTGTTGAGTCAACCTTGTAAGCTGGGTACCAAAATAGGGGGAAATAGGGGTGGGGAGAGAAGCACAGAACAGAGCTGCCTTTGTCAGCCATGGGACATAACATTTGCTCTCAGCCCTGTGGAAGGGAAGGAATCAGAACAGCAGCTCCGGAAGGCGCAGGGAAAAAAAAATCTACAAGGGCAAGGTCTATCCCCAAGGTTTTCGCTGTGGCATCTACCATCATCGGACGGAGAGATGGGAACAGAAAGACACACCGGGATTTGTTACCTTGTCAAAACCAAACAACCCAACCGTACACACTATCCGGGGGGAAAGGACAGATCCATCTCCAAGTGACGTTCACTAATGATGTCTCTGCTTGGGCTGCACGGGAGCCAGCCAGCTTCAAACAGCTTTGCTCCTCTAAAACGTTTAACTGGAAAAAAATCCCAACAGTTGCTAGTACTTAATGACAGAAATCTCAGAATCTTGCAGTACAATCTTGAACGTTTTCAAGCCCCTGTCTGTAATTTCATAGCTCTAATCATTCTGAGGTGCAGGGAAGAGGTAAAGCACACCGAATTCCACTTTTTCTGAGGTTTTATTAATAAAAGACATCCAGGTGAGTAACTGGAGAAGCCAAGGAAGAGAGCAGACGTCTTGTCTCTCTGTACTAACATTTCTATTCACAAAAAAACCAGGCAGGCTTAAACACTCATAATCTAATAACTATGTTTTCTCCACAATTTCCCACTAATTAGAAAGTGCAAATGCATCTACTGCTACATGAAACAATAACTTTATTCAGTTTATACACTTTACTCATTCACTGCCTGCTAAGGCAGTGTTTGCCTGATTGAACCTTCATGCTCCGCATGTTAGAAGGATATAACATCTACTGGGTCAAGCAAATTTGATAGGTTCAAGATTATTTATGCCTCCAAAGTTCAGGAAAAGGAAAAGATAAAGGGGTAATGCAGACAAACCCACACTTAAGCCCGCATTTCTGCCCAAGAAATCAAGGTAGAGTTAAGCCGTGAGAAAAAACCCAAACATACTGACAAATTAAAAAGCAAAAAGAGAAAGATTATGTAATTCAATTTTAAATTATCCCTTTTTGAATACCGTCCAGTTCAGCAGTGCTGAGAGTTCATTGTGTTTCTGAGATGATAGATGTTTTATTACAGACTGTTTATGTATGTTGTACCCATTGGGGCCAGCCTGGCATCGCGCTGGCGGCAGCGCCATGGGACGCACCAGCAGAAGCATCCAAGGTCAGGTCCTTTGCATTTTCCTACGTTCCTGTCCCACGTTCCCAAACCTGCTCCCCAGGTGCCCAGATGTCCTACGGGAAAAACAAGCACCTGAAACAAAGGCTGACAAAAGGGAGCATCCTGCTTTTGCTGAAGAGTCTTTAATTTCAAGAAAAGAAAAAAAGTTGGCGATTCCCAGTCTCCAAGAGAGTTTGCAGAAACAAGATCTACGTTTTCACCATCTCTGAAAGCAAAGCTGAAGCTGCTGCTCCTCACTGCACTGATATGGGTCCCAAAGACTTTATGACTGCCTTTTTCTCAACACTGGAGATGATTAATGGAAGTGACTGGCTGGGTCTGTTTTAAATGCCCTGAGCACTGAACTTTTCACATAGAAGGAGCTTTTCAGCAGCACGCTTCACTGTGCTGGTTAAACTGCCTGGACCAGACCAATCATCTGCCTTTCCCCCAGCTCTTTTCAGGCCATTTGCTTATTTCTTGCATAAAATTGCTCATTCACTGTACAAACTGCTGAAGCATCAATTATGCAAAAGAGATGAAAATGAATATTTTAATGCATATTCAGGTTGAAGAAGAAAAGAAGAAGCGTAAGTGCCAAATTGTCAAAAACACAAAATTCTTTGTGCTTCCAAATGAGCTCTCAGGAAAGAACCTGCCAGATTGCTGGACTGGAAAAAAACCTTACATTAAGATGA